AGCAGGCTCACTGCTAAGCAGAGAGCCCAATGTGAATATCGATTCCCAGGACCTGATTCAGATCCTGACCTGAGCCGAAGGCAGATGCTCAACTGACTGAGCCACCCAGGTGCCCCAGATCATGTAGGATCTTGAAAATCATGTGAAGGACTGGACTTGATTCTAATAGTGATGGGGATGGGGCCATTGAAGGACCTCATTTAGGGAAGATGCGATCAGGTTACTATCTTATGAAAGTCAATCTGACATCAGACTGAATAGAGAATTTATTTGAAGACCTGTGTCATCACATAGGCAGCAGATTACAGTGGCCTGTTCAAAGGAGATGGAAGGGATAGTAAGAGAATCCAGAGACTGAAGAAGTTGGAAATTGAATCTCACTTAACAAGCAGGATTTGCTTATTGTTTGACTGTAGAAGGTGAGGGAAATGGAGAAAGGGAGAATGAATTCTGGGTTTCTGTGTTAGGTATCTGGATAGATGCTAATCTCTAAGATGAGTAAGAAAAAGAGGTTTAGGTTGGGAGAGTTAGAATTGATGAGTATATTCTCAGATGCCCTGAGTTTAATATAATGGTGGGATATCTAAGTAGAAAGATGTCTATGGTAAGTGGAGACACCTAGGGAAGATAGTTAAACCATGGGAGGAAGAGATTTGAGTAATACCAGCATACAAAGAATCAGTGGAACAGTGGTAAGAATCACAAGAGCACCAGAGTTTGTATGGGCAGTGAGAATAAAAATTAGAGAGCAGAATTCTGAGTGTCCATTGGCAGATAAAGAAAAAATTGTGGACAAATGAAATAAATACCAGAAAAAGAACATGAAGGGTGGTGAAGAGAATGCCCAAAGTGTTAAAAGCAGCTAAAATTTTTTTTTTAATTAGAAAAAAAAAAGCTTGAATGTCTATAGGACACACAATTTTATATTTATACAGATACACACTCACATGCACTAGTTTTTCCCACAGACTACATACACTTATAATCACATCACTCATACACCATATATACACCCACACACATTCACAGACACCACACATAGTTCCATAAACCCACAGGCAGGGCGATACCAGATATAGAAATTCTCATTCATTAAATTCAACCCCAGGTCTCTGCTAGCATATTAATTATTAACTTAGGGAAGTCTACTGATTTAAAATGAGAAAGCTTTGGCTTGTGGTTTAAACAAGAATATGGCTCACTTTTCCATCTGTTAAATGGGCACTGTAATACCAGCATAGGGAAGTTTTGAAATTTAATTGATGTTTACTAAGTGACTGGAGAGCCTAAGATGAAAGGTGCTGTGTAATGCTGTTACACTTGTTGGGACTGATGGTGGTGACCTACCTTAGCATTTGAGTATTGCAATATTCTAAACCACAATGTAATCCAGGATGATAAAAATACAAGATATTATTAAATGACTTAGAAGAGGTTGGACTATTACTAAAATGTCCTGCTGGTTATTTATATTTCATCATCTTTTTTGATGTCTGCTCAGTTTTAGCCCTTCTCTGTCATGGAACTCTCTTATTCTCCACTCTGTCTTAACATTCTAGAACAATTTGATTGAAAGGGACCTTGGGGATCTTCTAATTCAACCTTGAATTCAACAGATGAAAAAATCGAGCCCAAAGTTTATATTACTTATCCCCAAATCACCCAGTTAGAATTTAAAATCAAGTCTCCTGCCTTGTGTGTTTCTTCAATAGAGAATATTTCACAAACAAGACAATAATTCTGAAATTAAGATACTGTACTAGATGAGGGATCTAAGAAAGCATTACCAGTAATAGCAACATAAGCAGATTAACAATAGCTATGAGGAAGATGAAGTAACATTTCTTTTTTTAAATTAATACAAAGGATACTTTAAGTTTAATATTGAAAACATAATACCCATTACTGAAGAAACCAATACACAATGGAGACATGAGGGAAGGATGAAAGTAATTAAGATTCATGAATTACAATTGAGTTATTCAGGTTCATCTATTGTTTGTCTTGGTGAAAGGAACAAAGTTGTTTGCTCTGGATATCAGAAGATGTGATTTATATTTTTCAATAAATATTTTTTGAACACAACCTATGTTCCAGATAGTCTGCTTGGTTCTGAGGATAAAGGAGGAAAAAATACAGTAAAGATCCCTGTTTTCATTTAGTTTATTGTGAGAGGATGATAAAATTAAAATAAAAATTATTTTAAAGTTTAACCAGTGCTATTATGGAAATAAATAGGTTTGTTTATTGAGCTTCTAATTTAGATAGAATGATCTCAGAGAAAGGTGATATTAGGCCAGGAACTAGGTAGATGACAAGGAATGAACTAAGTGGAGAATATGAGGAAGAGCATTCCAAGCACAGAGAATGACATGATTAGGAGGAGCCTGGTTGTAAAGAAACAGAAGGAAAGCCAGTGTGCCTGGCATGCAGTGAAGGTGAGAGAATCACATGAAGGTAAAGATGGCCAGATCACACTCTGTGGTACCGTGTGAACAAGGTTAAGGAATTCAGACCCTACTGTTAGAGGAAACTATAGAAATGTTTTAATTATGGCAGTAAATGCTTAATATAAGTTTTTAAATGATTGTTTTGATTATTTTATTGGGAATGGGTTGCAGAGGGAGCAAGGGATGAAATGAGGAAGAATTTGTGAGCGTCATTGTGGTTGTCCAGGTGAGAACTGATGGCCGACGTGGACTGAGGGAGTGACAATGAAGATGGAGAGAAATGAACAGGTCTGTGATATACTGCTGACAAGGCAGATGTGACAGATAAGGAGAAGACAGGAGTAAGTGTAACTTTTGGAGTTGAGGTTGAAAATGGGGATGTAGTAGTGCCATTAACAGGAATGGATTTAAGAGTACAAAGAAATGAGAAAGTAGAAACAGTAAGTATAGGCAAATATTTCAAGAAATTTTTCAATACCAGAGAATAGAGATCTGGGACAGTTGATGGCAGAGATGTTGAAGCAAGATGTGTGCGTCTGTGCATCTGTGTGTCTGTGTGTGTTTCTGTGTGTCTGTGTCCTTAAGATTAGAGAACTAGATTAAGTGCCTATACTGAATGTGATGGTTTAATAGAGAGAGATGCCTTTGATGGTGAGAGACAATAGCACAAAGTGTAAACCTGAATATCTAATTTTCCCATTTGACAATGGTGCAAACATCTGGGGAAGATGATACCTCACAAAAAATATGGGGGGAGGGTTCCTAGGTGACTGAATTTTCCTGTAGCTCCCAGTCATGGTTATCTGAGAACGCAAGGGCATATGAAGAAAGTGGATGTATTAATCAGGCTTCTGTGCCTGAAGAGGAAGTTAGCCTAAGTATATCAAACAGAAAGGGATATAACATAGGGAACTGAATACTCATAAAATCATTGAGAGGGAAGAGAGATTGAAGAAGCAGAAGTCAGCCTGCTAGACTATTGGATTAAAAGTCCTGCCACCACTGCTGCCACCCAACCATGAAGCTGGTACATGTCCATAGAGCGTCTAGCCAGTACTGAGGCTCACATTCTTTTAGTCACACTTTAGCCAATCCCAGACCTCACTGCCATAGAGAAATACCATCTACTTTTTCTCTCAAATATCACATGAGTTCTTCCAATTAGAAGAGCCTAATCCACATCCAAACCTTTAATAGCGGGGGAGTTTGGCAAATGTTTTCATTTTAAAGAGAAGGATAGGAAAATGGAGATGCAGAAAAAGTCAAATATTCTAGAACACTAGAGCAATATAAACAAGCGTCATTGAGATAATACAATTTCTAAGTATTGGAGGCACTAAAAGCTTTTCAGAGGATCTAAACTTTCATCACTGAATTAGAAGATTTATGATTAGATGTCCTATTTAACTTAAAATTAGGAATATCATCTTCCAAGATAATTCTTTTTTAGACAGCATACCTTAATTTTTAAAATACATATGAAGCATAACAATGCATGTTTGTTCTAAGAGCAATTTATATATGTCCAAGAGATACAGAGCAAATGTGAAATCATACTCCCATTCATTTCTCCAGAAATAATCATTGTTTAATTAACTTATACATTCCTCCCTGTGTATGCATATGTACATAGTTTGATTTTGTTTTCTATTTTTGTTAAATAAGGCATTACTAAAACTATTCTGAGAATTTTTTTTCCAATTAACATAATATCCTGAAGATCTCTTCATGTTAATGTATACGGATCTACCATCATCCTTTTACTGTATTTAATGTCATGATTATTTAGGTTGGGTTATTAAGATATTTATGTTATTTCCTACTTTCCACTAATAATCACAGAAACTTGGAAAGCCTTACACATACTTCCCACATCCAAAATAGACCTCAACCATCTACATTTCTATTTTCAGCTCCACAGTCCAAGTCCCCACCTCTTCATCTAGCTGGTCTCCCACTTCCACTTGGGCTGGTTTTCCTCTACTGCACGGAAGATGTGAATATCAGATTTTTGTCAATCCCTACTTCAAGTTCTTTGTGAGCTCTTGTGCTTATCACAGACTACCAGACCTGTAGGATCTGCACTCAAATTTCTCTTTGGTCTCAACCATTTCAACCATTCCCGTGGATCTTCACTTTTCAGTGAAAAGACAGGCTTTGTCACTCTTCCTCCAATGAGCAAAGTTTCTTTCCCCATTTCCGGGCTTCTCTACATGTTTCCACCTGAAGAATGTCATTCGCACCACTCTTCACTGAGTTTTTCTGGTTAACTACCCCTCAAAGTCTGGTCTCCCCTAAAATCTCATTTTCATTCCCACAGAGAACCCTTCCCTGACACGTCCATCTGTTCATCTGTGCTACAAGTCCATGTAATGTAATATTTTCTCAAAATACCCATTATGGTACTGACCATATTTGGCAATTATTTATTTGACATTTTTTTCTGATTTTTCTTACTCAGTGGACATGTCTCATTGTCTGTTTTATTTACTGCTTTATCCCAAAACTTGGCAGATGTTCTAGAATGTAGTAGATTTTCCATAAATACTTATGAATAAATAGATTTCTAATTCTTTTTCTCATCTTACTCTGCCATATATCTCCAATCTAGTATCTGCAAATGAGAGAGAGAGAGAAAGAGAATAAGACAGAGAAAGGGGGAGGGAGAAAAAGAGAAAGAGATCTGAACAGTTGTCCAAACAACTTAAATGCTAGAGAATTTTTAGGTCACTGAAATTATATGTATGATAGTATAATGATATACACATGATATTGAACACTTTTCAAAACCCATAGAATTCTACAACACAGAATGAACCCTAACGTAAACTATAGACTTCAGTTAATGATGATTTGTTAATATTCATTCTCCAATTATAACATGTACTGCAGTGAGGGAAGATGGTAATAATAGAGGAAACTGGGGAGGGGGTAAGGACGTGGGAGCTCTTTGTGCTTCCTGCTCAGTTTTTCTGTAAACCTAAAACCAGTCTAAAAATAATGCCTATTAATTTTTTAAATACTAGAGGGAGATAGATTGACCCTAAAAATAGCTGTTTATGGCTCAGTTGTAGGGGAAAATCCTTTTCCCTCTGCATGTCCAATACTTACCACAGCCCACATCTCCTTCCCAATTGTTTTTCCTACCAATTTACCTGGGACTAATAAATGCAGCAGAATTTCAGACATCTTTAAATTCACACCTAGGCATCTTTTAGTGAAATGGATTGTGTTCCACAGATTACTTGAAATTCAGTTTTAAGGAATTCTGAGCATATTGGTTTTTCCATATAGTTAGTGTCATCACTTGCAGTGAGGTTGCCAAGTTAGGCTGGTTTGTAGGTGGGGAAGGAAAAAGAAAGAAAGAAAGAAAAGAAATGCCACTAATAATTCTGAATACCTGCTCTGTGTCAAACCTGTCCACACCCATGTATTTTGAATTTACCCAGCAGTATTTGGAGATAGTTAGTATTACTGGGTTTTTGTAGAGGAGGAAAGAGATTTAGAGAGATTGAAAATTTGTCCAGAGTCGTATAACATGGAAATGAGAGTAGTGTTTCAGAGAGGGCAGTGGAGGTATTTAGATTGAGAGAGGAAACAAAAGCAAACTACACTTACTTGTCCTGGATATTTGAAAGCTAAACATTTACCGTTTCAGTACTGCTTATATTCAGACTATAGGTTTTTAAATTCCCAGAGAACAGATTTTCTAATTATTTGATATGAACACTTGAAGATTGAATGAAAAAAAATTCATTGGTAAAGGTTTTCTATCCCAGCTGATATTTCTTTTCTCTTTACTTCTCTTCTTTCTGATGGTTGATAACAGTTAGCTACTATTGCACAATGAGTAATTCTCCCCGTACATAAAATGCGCACCCTGAGTATCTCTTTCAGAGGCTCAATATTCAGCCCAGTATTACAAAAAGCCCAGTCCAGACTGTTGTGAGGTTTATTCTACATGAGAAGATAAATCACAGATGACCACTATGTCAGTTTGTAAAACAGAAACTCTTCCCCCAAACGATCATTCTTTCCCTGAATCATTTTGGAGGGTCTTATGTAAAAATGCATAGTGTAGATTATGTTTTTGAAATACGATATACTTTTCTGTTTGAATTTCCTTGTACTGACCTCCATTCAATCCTTTCAGAGGCATCCAAGTGCATATGGAAGTGGGGGTGGGATTGGCGGTTGGGAGGAGGTCAGGTTTAAATTGGTATAGCAGGAATGCTAAAATAAAGAGTATTCAGTTTCTGATATTCAGTGTAGGACTTAGAGCAACACAATAACTTTAAGAGAGGAAGTAAATTTTCTAAATTCTTTAATGGTCATGAGTGGATGAAACCAGTAAGAATCATGTCATAGACTTTCTTCCAAAGTGTAGAAAGGACACCTCTTCCTGCTGTATCTAAATGTAGAGGGTGCTTAAGACATAGGACAGTGACTTTCATATACTTTGACCCAAACCCTCAGGTAGAAATGAATTTAATCTTATGACTTAGTATACAAAAAGAGATACAAAATGAATATATAGCCATAGCTAAATATATGGAATTCTCCTACAGAGATTGTGAGAAAGAGAAGGGAGAGAGCTATATAGTAAATAAAATGGATGATAATGTCAACTTTTCCTCTCTCTCCTCTAGGAACAACATTTTACAGGGAAGGGTATTTTTAAAACATACAGAAAAAAAACATCAGGGGAGTTCCAATAACAAAGAGGCTTTGAGGTTGGGATTCTCCCCGCCCCCTGCTCCTCCTTCCCCCCTCCCCGTTTGATATGCCTAATGTGGAACACGTGCTGACTGCTCAGCACCACCCTCATAGGATGGACGTCATAGCAAGCCCAGTGGCACACCACAGTTAGAAAAAGGGAAGACCTGTGTCAGCTCTCCAGAGCTGTCTTTGGATCACATGTAGCATGAAATGTAGCATTGTCATCCAGCAGGGACACATTATCAGAGATAAACTAATGGCCAGAGGGAGTATTGCTGAGGCTAAAGTGGGCCTCTGATATAGGACTGCAAGGGAACTGCTGAGGTTGCAGTCACATGACTGTTTGAGCTAGCAGCAGTGGCAGCCACTGAGATGGGATCAGGATGGCCATCAAGTTAATGTTGGGGATGGAGGGAGGCAGAGCATGAATTGTACTAAGAGCAGACATTAACATAACAGCAAGGGATGAAATTCATTATATCTAGAGGGTCACACTAACTGTGTTTTCTGATAGAAATCTAAATTAGAAAAGTAGGTAGGGACTGCCTCATACATACTTTCAAAATTTCCATGAGTACACTCCTTTAAGGGGATCTAATTAGCATCCAGAATGCTTGTAGCAAGAGAATCTGGGTAGCAAAGTTTCTTTCCATTATAGAAAGGGAGTGAAATGAAAGCCCCGGGCCCCCAGAATACAGTCAAAAAATTAATTACACTAATAATAATGATAATAGAAACTCAAAAATATAAGAGATTAAATGTCCATCAAAAGAGAAATTATTGAATCAATCACAGTATGTCTAAAGAAAAAAGACATTCATGCTATCAAAAAATAATGATGATTCATGTGTGTGAGAATCATTTATTCAATTTGTTTATCCAACAAATATTTATTGAGTTCTTCTCTATGCAATGCATTATTAATGGAAAAGGCATAGAATAAGGTATATTATATGACCCCATATGCAATTTAAAAATCAGGATATGTATATGAATATGTCAGGCTGTGCTTTCCATGGATTATCTCATGTAATAACCCAGACAACTTTACCATTATCCCTACTTTACAGATGAGATAGTTGAGGTATAAAGACATTAAATAATTAGTCCAGTGTTAATTAACTTGTCTCATGGAGAACAAAGACAGAACTTAAATACAGACCCTTGAATTACAGAATGGGAAATTATAATAATTTAGTCTAATGTCATAAATAACCTATACTGTTTTGAGTTATTCAAAGAACATCTTACAGACATTCATTTCGATTTTCAGTGTTCTGGTATAATTCTATAGATGACCATTTTGAAACTTTTGCTTTGTTCACTTTAATAACAAGGGCATATTTTTTTCAGTATTTTAAAATAAGCAGTGTCCAAAAAAAGTATCAAATTCTAGATACAAGAAATAATTGTTACTTTGCAGGTAACTTTACTCACATTTTTTATGTAAAATCATTTGCTTAAAAAAACTGTGTTAATACGGAGCATCTGGGTGGCTCAGTTGGTTGCGTTTCCCACTCTTGGATTCAGCTCAGGTTCTGGCCTCATGGCATGTGGGCTCTACCCCCACATCAGGCTCTGTGCTCCGTGAGAGTCTGCTTGGATGTTCTATCCCTCTGCCCCTTCCCCTACTCTCTGTTTCTCTCTCTCTCTCTCTCAAATAAATAAGTAAATCTTTTTTAAAAAATGGTGCTAATATGATTTATAAATAAATATACTGCTTCAGTCATAAAGAGTTAGCTAAACAACTTTCAGATAACAAAACCGCTTTTACAGAGCTACCATGTACTTTCTTTAAACAGTTTAACTGAGGTATGATTGATATTTTTAACTTCAATTATAGTTTTGAAAAGGAGATACCAAATTTTATTTTAAACTAGTTTAATTTAGTTGTTTTGCTAAAAAAACAAAAACAAAAACAAAAAATCCTAACTATCATGATACTTAGAGTAACTTGGAATCACATGTTTATTTTTTCCAGACCTAATTGTATATGTTCTTAAGATAGTTCTATTACTCCCTCTCTCTCTGCCTCTCTGCCTACTTGTGATCTCTGTCTGTCAAATAAATAAAAAAAGTCTTTAAAAAAGATATTTCTATTACTTATTAACAATTATTATCAGAGTAACTACTTTATTCAGACATCTGTAAAAACGTTATGAGAAAAACAACAGTTATCCCTAACTGTGGGCACTAGTATGTCTTTGGCCTTCTTGTCCCTTTATACACTCTCTCTTTCCAAAAGCTGACCTATTTTCATAACAGTAACTGGTTTGATGCCTTTTCTCAGTCTGTAATATTTCTAACTTGTTTTTCACAAAAACTACATTCCTATATCTATAGCTACAGTGTAGGATTCAGAGGACAGAAAGTTTCTTCTGTATCATATTTTGATGTATCCCCAATGTCATTAGTGTCTAATACACCAAGCAATGAATAAATATTTCTTGAATAAATGAAGGTAACCTCTGAGTAAAAACTGCTTCTTCAATCATTAATTTAAAAATTATTGGGGCACCTGGGTGGCTCAGTGGGTTAAAGCCTCTGCCTTCGGCTCGGGTCATGGTCTCAGGGTCCTGGGATCGAGCCCTACATCAGGCTTGCTGCTCGGCTGGGAGCCTGCTTCCTCCTCTCTCTCCGCCTGCCTCTCTGCCTACTTGTGATCTCTCTCTCTCTGTCAAATAAATAAATAGATTTTAAAAAATATATATTTATGGCAACTGCTCTGTGCCAGGTTTTATGCTCGACGCTAAAAGCACAGATATGGGTCATACGCTCCCTTTTCAGGGAGGAGCTCAAGATCAATTGGGGGAACTAAATGTGTAAACAAATAAATAAATCTAGGATCCTATTTTATATGCTAGGAAAGTGATTTGGGTTGAAAATAATTTAAAG